CCCCCCCCAAAAAAAAAAAATTCACTGAAAAAATAGTGAAATTTGCGATTGCATAACTAATTATTATACCAGTGATATATTACTGAAGAGGTTATACCCTACGGAAATAAATTTGATTTGATTTGATTTGATTTGATTTCCAACAAAGATCAATACTATTTCCATAGTAAGGATTTTGAAAAACAATTCCAGTAATAGACCTTTCCTCTTTTGAGTGAAATTTTGATGTAGACAAGTCTGGACAAAAATTTCATCACAGCTTGAAAGAGCATCACAAATTAGTAATATTCCGAAGTTTCGCTGCGAAATGTTGTAAAATGCGGATAATATAGCTTTGCGAAGTTTGCCGTTTTTCAGTCATTTTGTATTACAAATGGGAAATTGATAATCAGTTTGATAATCTGATTATCAATTTCCCGTTTGTAATGCAAAATGACTGAAAAACGGCAAACTTCGCAAGGCTATATTATCCGCATTTTACAACATTTCGCAACGAAACTTCGGAATATTACTAATTTTGTGATGCTCTTTCAAGCTGCGATGAAAATTTTGTCCAGGCATATCTAGATCAAAATTTCACTCATAAGGGGAAAGGTCTATTGGCTCTGCTGTTGATTGGTACAGTAACTGTATAATCCCGATTAAAGTTTAGTATTTATAATTTTTTTTTGTAATTTATTAAAGCACAAGTCCACATCTGTAGTTTCTCATTTATATTACCGTTTCTCTAAGAATGATCTTGCTTGTTGTATAAAGAATGTTTGAGAATCGGTGGAGAATCTATAACAAAGTACAAGTATGACTTTCAGTGGAATTATGCGTACGTACTACATATACCAAAAACAGTCAATAATACTGCATGCAATAATTCTAAAGGCTTGTTTACGCTTGCAATTTTTGCTGTGATTTCTAGTGCAATTTTCTCCTTCTGATGATCGAGGGTAAATATACTCAATAAAACAATCATAACTCATCACATGCGTCAGAAGAAAATCGCAGCAAAAATTGCAAGTGTAAATGGGCCTTTATAAGATACATGTAAGCACCTGGTTGTTTCAGAGGAAGTTGTTGAACTGTGGGTTTGAAGATCTGTCATTTGGTCAACCAGGGTCCAGCAATCTTTGATGTGCTAAAATCATGAAGTCTGGCATTAAGTAAGATTGATATAAATAACATATGTTCCATTTAGGGGTTACGTTCTGTCCCTTTCTCCTGTTACAACCATTGAACTAAAAATAACTGGAATGCTAAGTTCAAGCGGAAGTTTGAAGCTAAATTAAAACAAGGTCATACACAGGCTTTAAAGACCCGTTTTAAAATAAAAGGCCTGTTTCCCTTTCGATTCGCATCTTGCCATGAAAACGTTCAAAACGGCATGTTTCGATCACCCCCTGCATTGTCTTGCGAGTAAATCGCGCAGTAGAAACATGCGTGGAAGTATGTGTCTGGGAGTCAAAACCAGTGAGGTCAAATTTTGGCTTCAAAATTTGCATGTGCAGTTTACTGAACGTAGCGTTGCAGTTATTTTTAGTTCAATGGTTACAACTAATTGTCTTTGTAAGCTTATTGTATTGTAAAAATTTGTAGTTGATATGTAAATAACATGTAAACTATGACAAACTTATTATTATATAATTATTCTTTGTATAGGTTTGCATGGCAATAAAACATATACTTTTGTTGTTTGTGGAAACACCACGTGGTATATTAATACATTATTATTATTCTTTCATACTGGTACCTGGTCATTAAATTTGCTGGCTGTATTATGAAAACCCTCTACAATATCAAAATCCATGCCTTGGATGACTGCTTCATTGTACATATAAATCTAGAATAAACAAATATAAACAACTTGTGTGTTGTTTTATTGTAACCCTTGAAGTGGCAAACATGCTCTACTTTTACATATAAAACTATAAAAGGATTTAACCCATTGAGTCGCATTGCACCCTGACGCACCCTACTTTAGTGTTTTACTCTGTCTAACGCCAGACAATTTTACTCGTCAAGGGGAGAGCGCTGGCACTTAATGGGTTAACTGGCCTATCTGCCCATGTGTCAAGTTAACCCATTGAGTCGCATTGCACCCTGACGCACCTTACTTTAGTGTTTTACTCTGTCTAACGCCAGACGATTTTACTCGTCAAGGGGAGAGCGCTGGTGCTTAATGGATTAATTTTGTCACATAAATCATTAATTTAATTTTGTCATATAAATCATATAGACATTTAAATAAAAACAGATTTTTCTGTCTTATTCTTCATACCTGTCTAGCATAAGCCATCTCAACAAAGTCTAGCCCACTTCTTTGGGACAGGTCGACACGATTCAAAGTACCATCCTAAAAATGCAATTTTAATTCCATCTTTTTTATTTTGTTATACTAAAAAATTGACACAGCAACAGCTGTTATTAGCAGTACAAAGCAATGAGATTGGCACCATAGACTTACGCCCGTATTCTAAAAGCTCACTCACACTCAATGAGTGGAGATTCAATCTGAGCTTCTCCCGAGTGTCAATGCTGTTTTTGAATAGCTGGAGGGTTCGTGTTGTACCTTACTATGCAACAACTCACCCTCCAGCTATTTAAAAACAGCATTTACACTCAAGAGAAGCTCAGATAGAACCTCCACTCATTGAGTGTGAGTGTGCTTTTAGAATATGGGCGTTAGAATAATTATCTTACTAAAACATCAGCAGATAAATCCAACGATTCATGTTCTGATCCCAATAAGGAATTCAAGATTTTTAATTTCTGTTGTTCCCATTCATTTTCCATACATCTCCAGTGATTTTTCTCTGCCTCATCAAATGTCTGCAGAAAATTATAAAATTATCTCACAATATCTAATAAGCAGGGGAGCTAAGGAGAGTGACAGGGGATGACAGTCCCCAAAACCATCATGAAACATATTAATCAACCAGTGTGCAAGCGTGCAATCATGCTTACTCAGACTGGCTATTTATAGTACTCCTTCTAATAGCACACTATTAGTAATGCTTTCTGAACTGTCAAGGTTACCATATTGGCATAATTCCATAGGTAAATGGAGAGTCTCCAATTTAAAAATTTCAAACAAGACGACTTCCAAAAACAATCATGCACCTCAAAATGTAGCAGGGAAAATGCCTGACATTTCAAGCTATTCAAAATACAAGGTCTGATATTCAAACTGGCATGGTCCTTTTTTAAATCACTAAGTCTTACATTCTTTTTTGCTTCTTCAATTGCAGCCAGGATTGCATTTTCTCTTTCATTTCTTAAAAATCCCTAGAAATATGGAAAACTTAGGTCTACATATCATCTTTTGAATTGGGTCATTCCAGAAAACATCCATACCTCCCTCACATAGGAAATTGTAAGTTACCCCCACCCCCACCCTCTTTGGATGTCCTGATACATTTACTATTATCAGAAACAATTTTTTGTCCATCCCTCTCCAGATGGCAGAATAATTGTTTCCATGAGGGCAGTGTGGATCTTTTCTGGAACAACCCATTTTACTTTGTACAATGTCAAACAACTTAACTTGGCAGATTCTTGTGTATAATAATGGGTTAATTACCTGTATATCAGTATCTCTGATTGGTTCCAGTGGTTCAAATGTTTTTGCTGTACTAAGATTATCTAACTTTCCTGACAATCTTGGAAGATCAAACCCTTTTGAACCCAATAAGATAGACCTACCAAAAAAGTAGTTGAAAATAGCCTAACTTATACATACATGTTCATTGTGCATAATATTCTACAATACATTCTACAATAGTCTGGTTTTGCCCGAATCTCCACCTAAAAACGATTAAAACCTTTTCAAAAAGGAATCAAAGTGCTTTTTATCTTTTGTATACCTACAAATGTCTGTTACAGAACAGAAAAGTCAGTCCCAGATCAGCCCCCACCCCCCAGCAATTTGTTAAATGTGCATCCCTGATTGTAAGGGTCTGTACCCAAGTAATGCAAACATGTAATGGCATGTAATTAGGCATTATTTTATAGCATTTGAGTTTAGTAAAATTTAGGGTATCAGCTCACCATCACCTAGCTTATACCAAACCCATTAGCCGCCCTCCCTGACTGGAAAATTTGGAAATCGCATGGCGGGGATTTCAAAATTTAATAGTAAATATATAGGAATCATATCTCCGCCGTGTGATACAAACTTTCCACACTGGCCGCCCACAACTTGGTTAGTACTATTTTCCATCCAGCAAACTGACCTGACGTCATTTTCGGAAGATGGAAGGGGTGTTAAATGGCTATATAACTAACCCAAACCCTACCCCTACTCTAACCTCTAACCCTAACTCTAACTGAATTAGTAAAAAAAATCCAGAAAGAAACGACCCTAGAAAATCGATAGGGCGGTTTGCCGGATGGAAAATAGTGCTAAGCCCACAACTTACGCTCTGACGTCGGCATCTTCTCCAACCCCCCCTGCGGTCTTCTTCCACAACCTATCCCCGGCTTCGGCAAGTTGATGTAAGTTCCTTTCAATCCTCGGCAATTCTCCTCCACTCTCTATATCAGCTGTCAACTGTTCTGCTTGTTGTAGCAAATCCCCAAATCCAGACATTGTGGCAGAAAGTTTATAATTTTAACTCACAATTATACCAAAACAAATACGATTTATCCAACCCCACAACAACCCAAAGACAGTATGCAATTGTTCCTATTCATACAAACTGCCTGGAATTGTACTTTCCAAACACATCAGTACAAAAAATCAGTTTAAAATTAGGTTTTTGGAGCACGCTGTTTTTCTTTCATTTCAAAATTCCGCCATATTTCAAAAGTGTGCCCGCAAACTCCACATTTTCGGCATGAAGCAATAATTCATATAATAGAATTATAACGTATTTTATAAAATGGCGGACTATTCTAAGAGTGGGATTTTAATATTTTCGGATTTTTGATGACATTCGCTGTTTTAATTGCATTATTTTGCATCGAAATTTATATTTTCATGTATAAGCTTATAGATTATACCATAAAACTGACTAAAACATGCGCCACAGTCGGAAATTATAACAATTTAAAGTTTTGAATTTGCCCACTTTTTATATCCACACAGCCAGTATAAACAGTTTCGGGATAGAAACAATGAACAGTTTAAAACAGCTAGCCGCAATATACGGTGAAGATGACGACGATGATGAAGAGGACTTTACAAGTAGTGCGACCACACAAATTGACGAACGAGGAATGAAACGGAGCAGAGAAGATGAACAAGATGAAGTTGATGTTCTTGGCTCATCCGAGGCAGAGAAATTGAGGTGGAATTTGGATCATAGATATTTCCGAACTTTCATACATAAAATTTCATACCATTTTCATACTAAAGAAATTTGTGGATACAGTTTTATTAGACCAAAGCCCGAGCGATATTATTTGAAAACGTCACGTTTGGCGTATAACAATTAGAGCATGGTTTGACTTGGTTTCTAAATAGAGCGCGATGAAAACGGAGCATTCGGCAGGCTTCGTGTAAACACAAACGCCGTTACTTTTTTGTAACATCAGTCATAAGTTTGAAAAGTATTTTCAAGTCCAATTTGCAAAAATTCCGAATATACAAAAATAAGAGTACAGTATATTGGACATCAGTTTTTTCATAATCTTCTTATTTTCAGCAAGATAAAATTAGAGATTCCAACGGGTGTTTTGGATATGTTCAAGGAATCTGGTGAGTATAACCATAGTCTAACACTCTAACATGGTCAAAACATGGCCACAGTAAATCAGTCCGATGAGTATAAACGTATAACCCGGCTCTGTTTGGTCGTTATTTCAGATGATTCGGAATCGTCTAACAACGTTCCAGAGCATCAAGGAAGACTACGCAGTTTTGAGCATTTTCCTGGAAACTGGGCAACACACATTTTCGTGCCATGTATGTCAAGTTATCATGTTTAGCCCAATTTGTATTAGAGATAAATAGATTATAGATCATCCTTCCAGTTCCAGATGCATCTCAGTGTAAAGACAAGACGAACTCTCCTGACGAACTAGCTAGAATAGAGTGATCTACACTGGTAATGGCTCTGGGAACAAAACATGCCTGACATTTCCCTCTAGACACAATTTCGAATGTGTACAGGGTTGCGCATGCAAATGTTCCCCCTCTTTGACTTATTGTAATTAACGCAGTAATGTCTATCTTTGATGTATGCCTTAAACATTTCTATAGAATATCAGCCGAGATATGGGCGTTTAAACGTAAGTTAGCATTTTTGGAAGAAGCGAAAAAATGGCCATTTTATTACCATAATCCAAATTGATAACACCATTTTTTGCTTCTTCCAAAAACGCTACCTTGATTGTAAACGCCTATAATCTATATCTCGGCTAATCTTTAAGTTAAACATTACTGCGTTCAATAAACTTTATTTGAATAAGATGACTTCTTTAGTTTTTTAATTACAATACGTCAAAGAAGGGGAACATTTTTTGGCGCCACCCGGTAGATGAACAACGCAACGCAGATAATTCGTCGGATGAACGGTCTGGTTGCTACAGTTATACGCAGACGACGTATCAATTTTCTTTGCCCAAGTTCATCAAGACGATCCGTCTGTCTCTAGAATAAATCAAGCCATTTCAAATTTATCCTTGTCCATAAACCACAAAACGAGAAAAATACTGTTGTATAATATATTATTTTCTTGCAGTTGACCTACCGGAAAGTTTTCCTGAGTTTTTGACATCATTGCAAAAAGCCTGGCCACGCGAAGCCTCTGAGCTTCACATGTGCGATCTGCATGATTTTCACGTGAGCATATCCCGCACCGTTCCCATAAGGCACCACTGGATTGAGCCTCTTAAGGAGCTACTACAACGTGGATTTCAAGGGAAACGCAAGTATGGAACAACGACACGTGTGTGTGTCTATTTTGGGCTGTTAGTGGTTAGTGCCACCACTGTGACTGGAGTTTCAGTTTCACTCCACCCGGCAACACCACAGGTCTTCCTCGGGTAGTTCTGTTTCCTCCCAGGGGCGGCGGAACAGGGGGGGCTAGGGGGGCTAAAGCCCCCACAGAAGTAAAAGTGGGGGGCTTAGCCCCCCCAGAAAATTTGAATTTTTTGAAAAAATTTTGATAATTAGGGAGAAATTTAGGTTATTTTTTGAAAATTTAGGTATAAGGGGACAAATTTGCAATATTTTGTTTAAAAAAAGTGTATTTCCGAAAAAATTTTTTTATATAGGTCCGAAAAAAATTTTTTCGTCCCTTTTTTTGTATATTGTACCCCTAAAGTGGTACACTGACCGAAATTTTTTTGGCGACGGGGGGGGGGGGTCGCCGAAAAAATTTAGCCCCCCCAGAACGAAATCTGTTCCGCCGCCGCTGTTTCCTCCTGTAGTAACACGGGAACAATAAGTGATGAGTTTAGATCTCATAGATTAGCTATCTTTAAAAACGACCACTGTAAAGATTCACATTTATTTAAATTAAATATAGGTTTGTTTGCGACTTTCGAAAAGTTGGTATTTATGTCAATGACGAGAAGACAAGGTAAACATCGCGAAATATTGGAGGGGGGGGGGGGGG